GTCGTCATGCGCAAATTCTTGCCTGCTGGTGATGCTCTCTTGGAAATGATCTGTATCCACTTGCCTTCTCCTGTCACTGCTCAAGAATACCGTGTTGAGCAACTTTACGAAGGTCCTATGGATGACGAGTGTGCCATGGGTATTAGAAGGTGTGACCCCAACGCTCCTCTCATGTTGTACGTCTCCAAGATGGTGCCCACTTCCGATAAGGGACGTTTCTACGCTTTCGGTCGTGTTTTCTCCGGTACCGTCCGCTCTGGTCTCAAGGTCCGTATCCAAGGTCCCAACTACGTTCCCGGAAAGAAGGAAGATCTTTTCATCAAGTCCATTCAACGTACTATTCTCATGATGGGTCGTTATGTCGAATCCATTGAGGACTGTCCTGCTGGTAACATCGTCGGTCTTGTCGGCGTCGATCAATTCTTGGTCAAGTCCGGTACCATCACCACCTCCGATACTGCCCACAACTTGAAGGTCATGAAGTTCTCTGTCTCTCCTGTCGTGGAGGTTGCTGTTGAAGTCAAGAACGCTAATGACTTGCCCAAGCTTGTCGAAGGTCTCAAGCGTCTTTCCAAGTCCGACCCCTGTGTCCAATGTTACACTTCGCCATCTGGTGAACACATTGTCGCTGGTGCTGGTGAACTTCACTTGGAAATTTGCTTGAAGGATCTTGAGGAAGATCACGCTCAAGTTCCCATCAAGATTGGTGAGCCAGTCGTCCAATACCGTGAGACCGTCACTGCTGAATCTAGCATTGACTGTTTGTCCAAGTCTCCCAACAAGCACAACCGTATCTTCATGAGAGCTATGCCTCTGGATGAAGAGCTCGCCAACGAAATTGAAGAGGGCAAGGTTGGCCCACGTGACGATTTCAAGACCCGTGCTCGTGAGTTGGCTGACAAGTACAATTGGGATGTCATGGAGGCTCGTAAGATTTGGTGTTTCGGTCCCGACACCAGCGGTGCCAACTTGTTGGTCGATACTACCAAAGCCGTTCAATACCTCAACGAAATCAAGGATTCTTGCGTTGCTGCCTTCCAATGGGCTACCAAGGAAGGTTGTCTCGCTGAAGAGAACATGCGTGGCATTCGTTTCAACATTCTTGATGTAACGTTGCACGCTGATGCCATCCATCGTGGTGGTGGTCAAATTATCCCCACCGCTCGTCGTGTCTGCTATGCTTCCGTTTTGACTGCCGAGCCAGCCATTCAAGAGCCTGTTTACTTGGTCGAAATCCAAGTGCCAGACTCCGCCATGGGTGGTATCTATGGTGTGCTAAACAGACGTCGTGGCCACGTCTTCGCTGAAGAACAACGCCCCGGTACTCCTATGATGAACATCAAAGCTTACTTGCCCGTGAACGAGTCCTTCGGATTCACTGCCGCTCTCCGTCAAGATACTGGTGGTCAAGCCTTCCCTCAAGCTGTGTTCGATCACTGGCAACTCATGTCTGGCAGCCCATTGGAGCCAGGAAACAAGGTATACGACATTATTCGCGCTGTGCGAAAGAGAAAGGGTCTTGTTGAGGATATCCCCAAGCTTGATAACTACTATGACAAGCTCTAAACAGATTCTTCTCTCTGCGAATATACATAGTCTGAGCGACTCAGTGAATAAAATCTCATAGTTCTGCATTGTTTTACACTATCCTCATCTCTCTTGTTACTTTGCCATCATTCCAATATCATTTCAAGCGTCTCAAGCGTGTCTTGCCTTTTCATCGCAATTTTTTTTACAAATTTTCGTTCACGCGCAGATCTTCGGTCTATCTTCGTTCGACTCTGTTGTATTGACATCAAGTGGTTGGGGCGGAGTCTGTGAGACTTTTACAAGTTGACATGCAATTGTCGCCTGTAGATCAGCCAAGGCCAACGCTAGCGGAAGAAGTAACGCAAGCAGCCTCCGCTAACGACGAAACTGTGTGGAATGCGAATGCATTCTTCGCTGGAGATGACGAGTCTCATAATCAGGCCACAAACGGAACGGCGCCGGTCGACATGGTAACAAACGAACTAGGTGGAGCATCAACAGCTTCTGCGAGTGAGCAGCGGACTTCTGCAGAGTCCACTGCAAATGGACCCAAACTCGATGCGTCCGGTGAGAATCTCAAGTCGACCTCGGAGGCTCTTGTGCGCAAATTACTGCAACTAGACTCGCCGAAACTGGATCCAAAGATCGTCGATGTACTTGTATTGGAAGGTTAGTTTTCTTTCATGGCTTCTCGGCACAACAGTATTTAACGCGTGGTAAAGGCATCATGGAAATTGTTATGTCGCATGTCACAAGGGTTAAGCGAACAGATAGCGACAATAATGGACTTTCCCCACATACAACATTTATGAAAATGACGCAGGAGGAGAGGATAACCGCCACGCTTCGAGAACGTGACTATTCAGATGCGCTAGCGACAAAACGCTCATATCACGCGATGGAAATTCTCGTGACCGACAACGTTCCTAATCTCAAGATCTTATCCGAAAAGTACACAGTTATTGGTAAGTCACACTTTGCATTTGACATGATCATTTCCTTTAACACGCTCCAAAAAATGCAGTTTCCTGCCTATTCGATTGCTTCCTACCTACCTCCAATGCCAACTTCAACCATTTCTCCAAGATATTTGAAGCCCTCCTCCGATGGGATGCCATGATGATGCTGGATGTCACTATTCTGGACCCTTCGACTTTCGCTAAACTGAGCAAAGCTGACGACAGTTTCGATAGTCAAGATGCACCATTATTGTTCTCTTACCTGATGCCATATATGTACGAGACATCTATTCAGAGCGCGATCGTGGGTCTCCTATTTGTATCCTCTTGGAGAGGTGAAGTGAAGCTACGACGACGCGCTGTCTTTGAGCAATTGAACGATCTGAACTTTTGGGAGCGCTTGCTGGAATATTTATCACTGAATGGTAATTGTCTACCCCACTTTTGCACCTGTGATATGGCTAATTTGGTATTTTGTTTAGATCATCCAGAGTATATCGCAGCCACCGCAGACCTAGTGCTTCGTCTTATTGAAGAAGGAAGTAAAACCGAAGACAGCGATCATCTATTCTCGGCTTTTGAAGGTGATCATGCTCGAAATATTATTTCTACGCTAGTCCAGGTATAACAGATGGGCAAGTTACCTTGCTTGGCTAACATCAATGTTTCAGTACCTCAAGGATGGGACGAGGCAACAAACGAATGCTGCCATTACCATACTTCATGGGCTTTTAGTGAAGACGTAAGGCTAGGTTGTAGAAAGGTCCGGCCACCACTAACGCTCGTTGACAGTGCCAATCCCCCCTTTCGGTCCTTGATGGCGGCTAATTCGTATCCTGATGCGTCGGCCTCGTCAAGTCGATTGTTCAGGATATCGATGGCAGTAGAGCAGCTTCTGATTCCCTACTTGGAGTTATTCACAAAATTCCTCGTGGACGACAAAAATAATAGTGAACTCAACAGGTGCGTAACACCCATACGGTCACTTTTCTATGGATTGACGCGATTCCCAGAGAACTGAAGTTCTCTTCGTACACCGTGCGGACGACCTTCTCAAGCATACATCTATTGCTGTTAGACTGCGTTTACGCCATCCTCAAAGCCGGAGAGGGACGAGGAGACGTCCTAGACATGGTAACGCCGCCTTTCTGGAGCATGATTGTCAATCTTTTCTTTGAGCTAAAGTAGGTACTCAGGCAATTACGGTTACAGTATACTTACAATACATACAGGTTCAACAATGCATATCATGCCATTTTCTACAAAATACTATGCGTCGTCTTGAGCAGTGATCACACTCCAGCATTGAAGGCTCTAATATCGAAGCCAAAGCTGCTTAACAAGATGATGGACGTACTGGAGGATGATAAACCAACAGGTCTGTGTCTGGGATTCTGCGGTCAAATATATATTCATGGAACGATAAGGCAATCGAGGTTTCATCATACTTGCACTCAATCACATCCGCCTGGCAGGCCAGATGAAAGCGCCTGGTGAATATATACCGATTCTTCTCATCTCACACGAGCGTTGGCAACAGTTTGTGCCAACGCTCAAGAAGCTCACCCTACGTCAGACTGTGGCTGTCGATCAATGGACCATCAAGGGGTGCAAGAGGCCCACTCCTCATTATGGACCGTCTCCGCCAAACAGAAACCTTGAGGAAGGCTCCCCGTCAAGGGCAGATCCTCTTACGAGTCTTCGTTTGTTGGATGACATGCTGATGGATGAAAAGCCGGAGTTTACACCCGAGCAAGAAATCGGAACAGATCTTGGTTCGAAATGTAGGTGACGGTGATCTTGGCCCGACGTTAGACTGATCGCATTTGCTTCGACTAAATTAGATGCATACTGTCTTGGATTCGACGACGTATCAACCCAGCAATACAAATCATCTACGCACACTCAAGACGCTTCACCACCACCATCGCCGCGAAAAATCTCTACCTCCCGTGCTCGTCCCAACAGTATGCTCCTGTATGACTTTGCTCAATTGCCAGAAGATTTCTCGGTGGACGATCTTAACTCACCCAAGGATGAAAGCCCTCCCTTTGCCATTAATGATGAATCGGAACCTATGGAAGGTGCAGCTACTGTCAAAAAGTCCAAGAGCCGGCGAAAGAAGAAGAAGAAGAGAAAGAGGTAAGTGCACTATTACTCGCTAATGTCGATTCTGATCCATGCTATCTAGCTCCAGCATTTCAAGTATGGAGGAGGTTGTCGGTCAAAGCGAGGGCTCTCCAATGGCAGTCGATAATTCGGAAGAGGAGGTTTAACGTATCTATCTTACGTTTACTAGGTTTCCTCTCGACCGAGGTATTCATGAACAGGACCAAAAAGGTTTCAATTGCTACTATCACCACAGCAACATTACCATGTATGATAATGTCACAATAGCGTGTTTCATGTGTTTTCGTGAAATTTTGGGTAAAAAGAAACGTTTATGACCGCTGAATAGCTTCGACCGTCAACGTGCAGCAATGGGCCACCAGATAAAACTAAAAAGAAAGCCGATCCCGATGGGACTCGAACCCACAACCTCCAGATCCGAAGTCTGACGCAATAGCCATTTTGCTACGGGACCACTCATATTATCTTACTTTTAAGAAATATTACATATCTTTTTGTCGCTTTGCCCGCCGAAGGTTTTCGGAAACATATGGCCGATTCTACGACTTAATACTCCCTTAAAGTAGACTCGAAAATAACTGGTACGGGTGAATAGATACTGTACATCCACTCAAATTGGTATTCGGCAAAAAAGGTAATGTTGCACGTGAACAAGAAAATGATGGGCAAAAACAATCCTCTTGCTACAGTGAGTAATTCAATCTCGCCGAGAACTTGCATGGCACTCAAGTAGCGTTGCTAACTCTATGGCAAATTTTTCGTGCGATTCTATCTGTACTTTTAAGCTGCCGGGACAGCAGACCGCAAGACACGCGAGTTCAGCATGTGTCCACCTACGCTGACCGTTTCCAGAGAGATGCATGCCTCCAGCGGCCCCAAGCGGTTACCCAAATCAGCTGTCCATTCACATTTGAAGTCGACACTCAAACAAAGGCAACTGAGGAACCTCCGACGCAGACCCTGCTCGTGCTGTCTGATGATGGAGTATCGAAACCATGTCATTCGCCATACTTGCCTGACTTGACGCTTCCTCATTACTGATACTGCCGAACATTCAGTCCGTCCCAAAAACCATCTGAACAGCTAGATACAAGCAATGTAAGTCTGGAAGCCCTTCAATGTAAGAATTGATTTTGTGCTTATGAAAGTCTTCAAACGCACGTTAAATTACCTATATCGCTTTCAGTGCTGGCGAGCTCGTACCTTCGATTCTCACCTTCACTACAGATAATGCATCCAATATGATGCCAACAGTATCGGTAGTACTATCGATAACTGGTTCCCGGACTCAAATGCAACGAAATGATCATGCGTATGTTGGAGCTGTTGGGCCAAAGTTCGACAACGAGATCGACCATCATATATACATTTTCCAGAATGCTTGAGTCGAGTACGCCGCATCTGCTTATAGCTGATTGTTGAATCGCCTACATATTCGCAATCTCAAACGTCGTCCTCCCCTATTCTTAGGATAGAAACAATATCAGCAACTTTTCAGTGAGGAGACTCGCAGCAGACGTTAACTGGAATCCAGAGTCTGCAATTGCCATGATTCCGACCGTCCGATTATACTTCTGCAATGAAAAAGGTACAAAACAACATGGTGGTCAGTCTCAGCACGGTAAGTTAAAAGTTCAGCATATCTTTGCCATCAAGTGTTAACGAAGCATGACGGATGCCGACACTGGAGAGCCCTCGATCCGTTTTAAGGAGAAAAGACATTACGCATGTTTGCACCAGCACGGAGTGTGATGTTAACAAGGAAAGTGGCATTGTGTCGAGTGGTAGCGGAGATGACCGTAAGTTTGGATCCACTCATATATCAACACATTGACGCAGGACCACAAGCTATTTCTGAATAAACTCACACTTGACATCCTAGATCAGACATGGATAACCCTCTATCCCATGTCAATATGCAGCTTGTGTCTCACTCTTCTTAATGCAAATCATAACCCTCTCATTGAATACTGAAGGTCGATAAAGAAAGGACCATTTAACAAATTTGCCAATTCAGGATACATGTCGGTGAGAGGTCTTGGGCCATGGGCTGCTTATTGCCGACAATGCAGAGGACAGAGAACCATATCTATTCTGGTACAAGCTTCTCAGCTGTTGAGAAGGTACGTCAAGGAGGTCCATGTCGCGAATGACTCCGAAACTCGAGAGGTGATCTCGGCAAGACTGATTCTAAAGTTGCCTTCTATAAAGAGGAAGACCGGTACCGCCCAAGGCCATAAGGGAACCCTCAGAGACCATTATCCATGGAAAAATCCGCCAGGATGACTATGCCTGGATGGAAAAGGCACATAACCGAGTATGTTGCTATATCATGGCATATATTGATGAGATTTGCTCACCTAAGCGATCCGTAGGATCGATTGAGCGGCTACATGCAAGCGGAGAACAGGTGAGTATGCTACAGTGAGCTACTTTTGATTAACAACTTCCAGCTATTGCAATAACGTCTTGCGAAATACGCGTTTTCTCCAGCGTGTGTTGGTAAGAGAAATGAAGAGCAAGCTACGGACGCCAAGAATGATGCCGCCCATTACCACGGTTGCGCATGGATTTGAATACTACACCCGGACATCAAAGTATGGCTTGGTCTACTGTCGGAAACCCAAAGGCACGTCGTTCAGCAGACAAGAGGTACATTGACAAGAAAAGTCAAAGAAACATAGCTCATGCTACTTAGGAAGTCATTCTCGATCCCTATGATCTGCGCACGGCTGATGCTAGGGTTCAAAAAGTTTTGCTCTCTCCATCGCATGATACGATTGCGTTCATGTTGGCTCGGGACGGAGATGAGACTGGGCAGCTTCGATTTCGCCGTCTTTCAACGATAATACCGAGGGACGAGGTAAGTCGAAGCGAATGCAGCTATGATTTGCGGCTAATTAACGACCGCATGGTGGTTGCCAGCCATTAGAGACTATTGCCAATGTTTTTAACTATGTCTGGGGAAGTGATACAGTTGTATACTACACCGTTGCCAACGAGCAATTGCGCCCTTTCCAAGTAAGTCTTTACAGTCAACAGGTCAGGGTGCGCGACGCTCATGCTTCAATTAGGTCTATCGGCATCGCCTCAACACATCCCAGGAAGATGATTTGCTTGTATATGAAGACCGGGACGATTCAAACTTCGTCGACGTGGGAGTCACAAAAGACAAAGTGGGTTTCTTCACCACTGTTCCCTGCTTTTTGGTCGTTTGCGAGTGCTCATGGCCCCTGTTTTTAGAGATATGTCACCATCAATTCAAATTCGCTGTCATCGTCAGAGGTGCGAATCATAGATATGGCTTCCGATAAGGAATCCAAGCCGACATTAATGCAAGAGAGAGTGGAAGGCGTAGAATACTACGTTGATCATCATAACGTGAGTTCACCATGCACAATCCACTCGATGACTTACGAGCATGTACAGGATCAATTTTACGTTTTAAGCAACGCAATTAGCGACACGGGAGAATTCTCTCTATTTCGCACCTCAGAGAAAGCCCTGGGCCTTGCAGATTGGAAATTGCTCATACAAATGGAAATGAACGAAAAGGTGGAAGATGTGGACTTCTTCAAGGTGCGAACGCTGTTTTCTTTTTCAAATGTTTGCTCAATCACTTTCACAGGAACATGCCGTGGTTTACGGAAGACGCGACGGTTTGCCCATGATTCAGTGTCATGCCCTCAGCACCAACGACGTACACAATGTACCTCTTCCAACGCGATACTGCTCCCTCACTCCGGCTGTCAATATGGTAAGTGCTTTAACAGACTCGGCACGTACTCACAGACGACAAAAGGATTTTGACACGGACACGTTCCGATTCGTACTGAACGCTCCCTTTGCGCATGAGGCAACCTATGATTATAGCATGACTAACAAGCGACTTAATCCCGTACGAGAATATGCAATTCACAGTAAGTGCAAGAACGCAATCGTATCAAGCCGAACATCTGCTCACTCCTGTATTTAGACTTCGATCCAAGACAATACAGTGCCGAACAAGACCACGTTACTGCGAACGACGG